ACAATCACGCCATGCACTTGAAAATAATTACATCGGTTCATAAACTAATTCCATCGGTTCATAAACTAATTCCATCGGTGCATAAACTAATTGCATCAAACACACACCGTCAGAGGGGGACACACGGGAGACTTGGCCACTCGGATGCGGCGCTCGTTTTCACGGTCGTTGTACTCGATGACCAGTCGCGTGTTAACACCATGGTACCACGTGTTTCCCAGCGCAGCCGCCAAGTAACTCTCTGTCGCGTCTAGGTTGTCCTCCGTATCTACATCTGCATCTACATCCACATCCTCTCCATTGAGTATCCCCAGGCCGTCTGTAGGGCTGTTTGGCATCTTGGCACGGTGTGTACTGGGCCTGTGTGTGGCCGGGCGGGTATGACCTTGGTGGGTCTGCGTGCGCCCCCTGGCAGGCTCGTCTCCGAGTGCGTGCAGGTTGATGTGTGTACCTACCGGATCAGCCGCATCCACAAACCGCGTCTCAATATGATTAGACACCAGCACAGGTATCCTGAAAGTCTCTGCGATATACTTTAGCGCCGATACCACATCCGCCAAGAACCCATTCTTATCTACGCCACTCTCTTTGTACTGCTTTCCCCCAGGCCCAGCCCTCCCACGACCCCCGGCGCGTGCCCTGTCAGACCACGCGCTCAGCTCCGCCGTCCCGCTTTGCGTCCCGCTTTTGGCGCCGCTGAATTCCGCTTTCACCAGCGACGCCACCGAATCAATCACCAGCAACCGCACATCCGCCTCTATCAACACCTCCTCAAGCGACTTCAGTCGTGTCAGCAGTCCCGCACACGTGGTCTCTCGGAACACGTGTACGCTGGACAGGAAGCCCTCCACGGCTTGCTCGGTGCGGGTCAATGAGTTGTTCGTTCGCACGCGTGTGGCTCGTGGCACAGGGCCGTGGCCAGGCACAGCCACCCCACAGCTGATACTCTGCGGGTGGGCTGGCGGGTGCGGGTCGCGCCTGACACGGTTGTCTGTGGCGATAGGCCCAGAGGTATCTCCAGTACCGTTTGTCCTCACCCGTACACCTGTACTCTCATCATCCCGTGTCTCCGTAGGCCCACTCTCTCGTCCCGTTTTATTGTCTGTGTGAGTACCGAGCTCCTCCTGCCGCCCGTCCACAGCGTAAGCGCCTGTTGTTGTTGAGGAGAGTGTATCTGCATTGCCTCCGGCGTGGGTTGTGTGATAGTGTCGCTTACGTGCATTAGAGTACGTCACACCACTGGGTACACTGACAGCCGGCATGCCCAGCAGATCCGGGTGTCGATGTGTAGCCATATCTAAGAGTCTGTGTACGTTGAATGCTCCCTCAGTGTCTATGAACACTACATCGCCACACGCAGATACTCTATCAGACGATCCAGTGTCTTCCGCACTTCGGGTTGTAAACGCAATTTCTCCGTCTGGCTCAGATGCGGACTAAGATTAGCAGAAGTAAGTCAATACAACAACAATAATTTATCAGAATATTTATCACGAAGAGGTGGGTCGTAAGCCACACTTGATGCGTATATGTGACACGAGCACATCTCTCGAAAGTCAAGTACCACATTTACACACACCCCGCCTTCGCAATGCTATACCGTAACCAAGATTGAGCCGACAACAGTATTGATCTAATAATTC